TGAATAGCTGACCATTTCTAAGCAAAAAAAAGTTGGTGGCCTAGAAAACTCAACTTGCGAAAGATAGGCCACCACCCCAAAATGGCTCAGCAAATGTACCTGGTGAATTTCTGACCATTTCTAGGTCAAAAAGATTGGTGGCCTAGAAAACTCATGTTGGAAAAATTAGGCCACCAGGTCAGATGGCCTAGAAAAAATGATGACAAATTTTTGTCGATAATTTGTCGACAATTTGTCAAAAAAAATTTTTTCAATAAATTTGTCGATAAATACTTTCGACCAATATACCGATAATTTGTCGAAAATTTATCGACAAAATTTTATCGTTTTTTATCGACAAATTTACCGATAATTTGTCAGGTAAATTTGTCGACAAAATCGAAAAATCTTTGTCGATAAGGCACACTGTTAAGAAAACTAGAAAAACAATTTTACTTGGTGAAATGTGTTAAACTTAAAAGGCTTCAATAGTCAACTACAAATCAAACAATTTATTGAAATCAAACATTATATACAATCCGAAAATGTATTAGAAGATGCAATCTCTACGTGCAGAGGTGCAGAGAAATGGAAGCACATTTATGAGTACGACGGTATTCTCTTTACATATCTGATTGATCAATTGGAACAGTACGATTTGAAGGAACTACAAGATTGGTTCAAAAAATTCAAGGTGAAAGATTATTCGTTAATCAGAGAGGAATGGATCGAGTTTCATGAAATCGTATTTCATCCGGAAGATATTGCGGAGCATTTTACGAATTTATGGAAAGCTATTAAAATAAGAAGTGCTGAAATCAAAAAAATTGCTGCAGATCTTGGAAAAGAATGCGAAAGTTTGGAGATCCCAAAAATAGCGGAATTTTAATTGATGGAGATGTTTACTTTGATTGTATATGATGATTAATTTCAATGAAATTTTCAATTTTTAGTCAATTGTATATGAAAGCCCTTAAAATTTAACACACTTTACCAGTTGAAAATATTTCTCTAGCTTTTTCAGTTTTTGAGATACAAACGTTTAAAGCTGAGCGCTATTTCGGAACCTACATGTGACACATATCCACTTTAAACGTTCAAATCTCAAGAACTAAAAATGCTACTAAAACTTTGTCAACTACAAAAATGTATAACACAGCATTTTACACATTTCAACAGTTGTAAATATTTTCTAGCTCTTTCAGGGGTCCGAATTTCTTCACGGGAGGGGGGGGGAAGTTGCCCAGGCAAGCTACCCCCAAACCCTTTCTGCAGTTCCCTGTGCGCTTGCAACGACGCTCCGCTGTTCGGCTGACGACAAGCGCGCCAACCGGGTGTGTTTGAATTAGAGTTAGTTTTAGAACGGCTAGTGGTGTCAGTTTTGACGGTTTAAAGGTGGGAGGACAGGAGATTTTACGGGGGATTTTTGGGGCCAGAGTATGCATTCTACCGTAACGGTGTACAACGCTTAATGTCACTCTGCGTACAGCTGTCGCCCTCGCCTTTATGTATGCAATCGGGCAGCGGCTTTCTCTTTGCACGCGTGGCTCAGTCGGTAGCGGCGCCGCACCTTCAACACTCGCCTCGACAAGTTCAACTCCTCGAGGAGCATATTTAAACGAAATTTCGACAACATTATTTTTCTCATGTCCCCCCACCTTTAACTCAGTTTAGAGATTTGTCTAAGTCATCTTTTGGTTATTTTCTTGTTCTTTATTAACCAGTCGGTTTACGCCCCTTCGGGGCTAAACCTCCTGGCCCCCGCTTACGATACCCGCAATCTTATGAAAAGGTTCCGTCACTTTTACGGAGGCTATTTTTTAGGGCCTATGCTCACAAATTTGAAAATTAAGAAATTTTGAAAGTTGGGAAGTTCAGAAATTCAGTAGTTCAGAAATCGAGAAATTGAGAAATTGAGAAATTCGGAAGTTCAAAAATTCAGAATTTCAAGAAGTCAGAAATTCAGAAATTCAGAAATTTTGACATTGGGGATTCATGATTCAGAAATTCTGATTTTTTGAAATTTCAAATTTCAGCCACTCTGCCACGCGCGCACTTGAATTCACAAAGAGTAAAAGGCGTATATAAACCGTCAAATTTCAGCGATTTCTGCGCGTCGCTTCCGGATGATTTCGATCCGGTGACTCTGTTTCCAGAAGACGTCAAGTGTCAGAAGATGAAGTTAAAGGTGGTGTACGGTGAAATTTTTTATTGCATCAAAATGTGCAGAAATGCATGTAGATTGACATAAAAATAAAGAAAACATTCAAAAAAATTCCTTCATCGAGAAAAACGCATCGAAAAATACGCTGAAAGCCCTTAGGGACGAGGTTTTTTCTAGGCCGCCCGGTGAGTAAAAGCGCGCGAATTCAAACTTTT